CCACTGAGCTACGGACTGGTTGTCCTATCAGTTTTTGGTCGGATGTAGTGACCATGGTGACCATGAGCTCTCAATAATCAAATAATTTTTATTTCGAAGCCCAGGTCCCGCAAACCCCTCCGGTTGCGTACGGCTGACTGATGACAGCTAATAAGCCGCAACTGACTAACTCCGTCACCTTTGTCTTTTTTCGTGACCCGCCATCTGCATAGTGTTACTAAATTTTGTGACCAGGCCAGAAACCATAATTTTTGATCTGAAGTACATACCTGTTGAGAGAGTTGTCGATGGATACTGTCAAAAGTCTGACCGCGGTCAGTGTTGAGTCATTGGTTGTGATTCGTGAAATATACATCGAAACAAAAGGCCATCGTTTTGCTCCTATTTAACTCCCCCTGCTTACTTCACGTGGGTCAGCCGTTTGAAGAAACAGATCGACCAAATTGGCCCCAATCAGCCAAGGACAGACACCCATGCATGAGTACAATGGCCAACGCGCTGTGCATACTTTTGCCAGCTGCACCGACTGCCTCTCAGTTTTCTTTAAAGCAACCTCCCGTATGTGGGGTCCGAGTCACTTGGTGCATGTAGCAAAGACCAGGTTGTGTTTGGCATGCGTAGGAGGGCTACTCAGCTTTGTCAGTCACTGTGCTCGAGCCCGCCTTCAGTCGTTCTCACTCCGTCTTAGTACCGGGCGCAGGAGCTTGACGAGGTAGAGAGAAAGCTATATTTTGAAGATGATATCCAAAATTTTCAGCAAAAAATGGTTCCATTCACGAAGAGCTAGGATAAGGTAAGGCAAGGGGTCATGGTAAAGGTCAATGCTAACGGAATATTCAAAGTTAAAGGTTTGCACGATATCCAAGAAGTTGGCGAACACTTCCACACATTAAAAACGTGTCTGAACTCGTTGAAAGACACCTGAGGAAGTACCAGATCCAAGTAGCGCACAAGCCAACAACCACACTTCGAAATCGGCTTGTACACCCTAAGGATAGGGTTGGCTATTTAGACAGAAAAGAGGTCGTCTACAAAATTTCTTGTGGCGACTGCGATGCAATTTATTTGGACAAATAGGAAGGTCCACCTCTACACGCGTACATAAACATCAATTAGTGGTAAAGAGGCGCGACCACCTGTCCGAAGTCGCCATTCATTCACTTGAAACTTGGCACAAGTTTGCATGGGACCAAACCCGCATAGTAGGTTCCTGCCCATATAGGAAAGGCCGCGAATTTTTAGAGGCCATTAACTCTAACGCATCATGCATCAATAGGCACATTGATTTGGATTCAATGTACATAAATCTCAAAAAAGCCCAGACAAAGCGCCAACCACCAAAACCTGCTATTGACCAAGGATGACAAATCCTCATCGATTTTTCGGCATTTTTAAAAATGCGCACTGTTCTTTACACATTTCCCTCACGTCCGAAACGACCAACGTCGAAAATTTACAATACAGTTCGTTCACGTTTCCCAGAGAATCTTTTCTATCCAATCATATTTCTTTGGATGCCCATTTTCAGATATCCACATCTGTTATGGAGACAGATAGGTTTTAAACTTCTCAATTTCCGTTTCTTCACACGTGAGATAGTGTGCTAGGAATGGGAGTACAGATTGCTGATATGCCGATTTACGGTAAGATATATGACGGAAGTTTCGGTGAATAGTACGGGAAGAATTCGCAGTCATTAATTCAGGGTGAAGAAGGTGAGCGACCTCACTAAGGAGAGTGCGACAGGTGCTGCGCAAGTCTGCAGGTCACCGGTGCTGCACTCGTCACGCTGTGGGGAACCGATCAGGAATTTAGCGCGACCGGCCACCTGTAATACGCAGGGTGTTTATTCCCGTGGTTCCACCAAGCACACTTTCCGTTAGGGACCGAAACCTTACGCGCGGCATATTAATTATAACTATGGACTATTTCCAGTCATGAGCCCTCCACTTCAGCTATACGGGTTTGCATTGAACTTTACATTCAACGGGCTTCCTCGAGGTGGTTTGCCGGGACAGTTTGATTTTTACAGGCAACACATTCTGTAGAGAAGACGGTACGTAATGAGGTTCTATACGGTGGTTTTACCGAACTAATGCGAATTAGTTCTTCCAGAAACATCTACTGTTCATCACAATTTCAGATATGCATTTTAAAACAAGGATTATTTGTCAAAGGAGCACAAAACGTTATTATTTCAATTACCTATGGAAAGAGTAGCGGCATTTAGGTGATCCTAATACAGCCTTTATCTACTTGCTAAAATAATATATCATTTTTTAACGGAGGTAAAAAAGACTGACCTTCCAAAAAAAATCTAAAGAATTGACAGAACAGGCGAACAAGAATCGTCCGCAGTGTATTTGGCTTTGCGTCAAGTTCCGGGGAAATTAAGCTTAGGAGTAATAGATTAAGTTTAAGGTTCGGTTTGAGGTTAGAGTTGAGTTACGATCGGGATTATGTTAAAGGTCCAGGTTTAGATTCATGCTACCTCTAGAATTCGGGATTAGAGTAGGGGTAGGGTTAAGATCAAAATTAAAGTTACTCGGCTCGCAGAGCCACCTATTTTAAGTGGGCGGGACGCTCCTATTCCCTGCTGTGCCTAGGTGGCCATACAAGTCATTCGTAACCAAACCGAGGTTAATGAGAAACAAATAATGTCCTGCAATTTGAGGAAATTAGCTTATCTTGACAAGATCGTCTAACTCCGGGCTGGTTGGGGCGTAGGAAAACCAACCCTCGCATACACCATTGGGGGAATTCTGTCGACCAATACTGCCTCATAAATACATCCCTAATTGACTGAATATTATCCTTGCCAGCGGCTGCAGCAGTTGAGGTCTTACGTCCGTAGAAGGTTTTGTGGGTTGCTCTGCCCACACGCCTGGCTGTGCACTCCACGCGAAATTTACAGGGCCTAATAGGGCACTCTTCTGGCGTTTCCGCCCGGCTGCACTAACATGGAAAGTCCTAAAAGGTGAGAGAGGGCAAACGAAAGCTTCTCGCTCTCATCCCGCACCCCTGTTCTCCTTGCGCTCCGATGG